TTAATTACCGAATAAATAAAAAAACTAAAATCTCGTTACGGTGGAACACTGACAATTGACTACACTAGAAGAGCGTCAATACTACACTACTTCACATTTGTATACAAATTTATTTGTATATCAGCGACAAAAGATGGCGCTAACGTCTATAATTCATACGTATTGGAATAAAATTGATAAAAAGATAAATATTATTGTAAAAACGAACCTAAAAGTAGTAATTAGTAATTAATATCATTACTTAGAATCATAAATATTACTTTTTTTATTTTGAATGTAAAACACATTTACATTTTATAATGTAAAAACTTAGACTGAAGCTGGCCACTCAGCATAAATTCTGTCATATTTAATTCAAATTTAGCGGTTAAAATACTCAACCCCTTTTCAACATGGCGGAGGTCATTCGAATTTCGAACCTCGCGAACAAAAGAAAGGGGCTTCATTATTGTATACTGTGGTGTTATTGAATCATTGTCTCGCTGCACATGTGCGCGCGCATTCTAACCTTTGTTTGTGTGAAGGTGTGTGAGTGTGACTCTGCACAAGTACACATCTAGATGTCATAAAATTGTGTATTTGAATATTTGACATTCAAATCTCTCGCGACCCCAGAATTTTGCTACGCGACCCCATTTGGGGTCGCGACCCATAGTTTAAGAAGGCCTGAACTAGAACATTCGGGTTTAGCCGTCTTTAAAGACGTGCGGCTAAACCCAAATGATTGAAAAAACCCTGAAATGAGAAAAGCCTTTATAATTTTGGTCACTTTACTCTGCGCGACATATACTGTTGAACGATCTTTTAGCAGCTTGAGGAGAATAAAAAGCTGGCTTAAAAGCACTATGGCAGAATGCCGTCTCAATGGTCTTCTCATGATGAGTGTGTATAGGAAGCATATTTTTGAGAACTTTGAGGGTTTTATTAATAATCTGGTTGACCAATTCGCTAAGAAGCCACAAAAATTATGTTTTAAATACTTTGGTCTGTTTTTTTTTTAATTTTTTTTTGTCCTGCCCCCTCCTGGCCCACTGCTGGCGACGCCCTTGGACATACTTATCATTAATTAAAGGGAACTTGATGAGCAATTCAACTAGCACACAATATACAGAGTGTTCTATTTAAAAAACTTAAACATCCTGTATAGTGCGTCGCGCCTTTATTTTACCTACATAAACAAATAAGGCGCGACGTCCTGTTTGGGACACACCATCTGTTCCGATTGGACGGAACCCCCGTCACCCCGCAGAGCTTATTTCTGCTTCTCTTTAATTTGTAATTCCATTAAATCGCTCTTAAAAAATTAGAGAGTTTTAATTTTGAAAAACTGATAACGGAATCCGACAACCGGCATTATTTGACATATTTTGGTCAAATCCGCGAGGAAATCCATCCACCCGTTTTCGATATAACGGCGTCTTGCTAAACAGCGATTTTCCGCGAAACTGTATGGAATATCGAAAAAATAAAATATGCCACTCGTTAAGAACACATCAGGCCACCAGCTGTTCAAAATTAAAAAATTTTTCGTACGACAGTTTTCGAGAAAAAAAATCACAAAGTTGACAAACTTGCCGGTACCATAGAAAATCGGGTATTTTTTTCATTTAACCTGCGATAAAAAGAAAACCGTGCATCCGAAAATTTTTAAATTAACATATGTTACGTAGAAATGTTCAGTGATTACGCATTCTATTTAAGGATATCCACGCAGCAACTGTCACAAATTCTAACTTTCTAGCTCAATCAGTCGTTAAGAAATTCAGATTTAAAGAACACAGTGTTAATTGCTAAAAAAAAGCATAATCTTAAAAATATAGTTGATATAATTTTTTGTAAATTTCGTATTATTTTTGATTTATAAATTTGACAAATTCTTCTTTAATAATTTGTTCCAGGATATTTCAATAATATTATCTTATAGTTTTTATATCATAATATCATAAACTAGAATCTTTACGCTGCAATTTAACCTACATATCATATTATGAAAGATAATATCAGAAAGCTATTGGCCTCTTGCCCGGTACCCGCTTGACGTTGAGTTTCGAGACACCTGTATATACAATTTATTAATTTAATGAATATGCATTAAAAAACAAAATAACATTTTCGCTATGTTTGCAAACAAAATTGACCGCGAAGCATTTTCGAGTTAAAAGGTCGAGTTATTCGTAAATTAAACTTATTAATATCTCAATGAAAGATTATTTTTAATAAAAATCTAATTAATTGCAGATACAAAACAGGATTTTGTTTGAATAATTCAAGTTATTCGTCATTTTCTAATTGGTGTATTTAAAATAAATAAGACATTTAATTATCAATTAGGAAAAAATAAAATCCGAGATTATTTTATATGAGAAAAAAATTGAAATAAACAGAATATTTCATCATCCCAAATCCATTAACATATTTGCGTCAAAAAACGATATCGATATATCAACATAATTATTTTTCCTTTGCAAACATATTATCTTTCAAAAAAAGGAACATTAAATATTATTTTAAAATCACTTTCTCTCACCTCGTTTCGTCATCTTTCACCACGCACGTAAGAGAAATATACTTTCAACCTGTGTTACACCCATTTATTTCTTGACACTTGTAAATAGTCCAAGGACTGGTATTATTAAAGCCATCAATACGATTAGAGTAATTAATTTTAGAACTTAATCATAAAAAAAAAATTTAAAGGTTAAAAACACCGCTACTAATCAACTTTTTTTTGTAATAATATAAGTCTGGAAATTTGCATGTCGTAAACAGCTAACAGGAAGTCCGCGTAATTATTTCATGTTTTTTTTAAATCCGTTTTTGCTTTATTATGTACATATACATTTAAGGTATTTGTCGTGAACTTTGTTATATCACGGAAATTTCATTGCAAAATGTTGACGATAAAATTCTTTTAACAAACCCCCAAATTCTATTTTTTCTTCAATGTTATCATTAAAATTCTATTTATAAACACAAGGAGGTCAAACTTCTATTTATAGATAATGTATGATATACTGTTCAATAAAACCGATTTTCTTTAATAAACAAGGTCGTAATCCATGTAGGTAGATATAAATTAATATAAATAATCGTATATAATAGGTTTACCTTGAAAGACGAGTCCAGATCAATTAGATGAGCCGAAAAACATATCTGAAAATAACCAAAAAATTAAAATTAATATCATAAATTCTTATAACTTGTAGAAATCATATGAATCAATTAGTTTAACGATATTGAATGAACTCGGAATTTAATTAACAGTAAATAACATAAAGTAATTCGCAAGTTGTCACACGGTGGTTTTAACGTTTAGTAATAACAGTTAAGGAACTTTCCCTCGTTTCAAACCGAACGAAATTAAATTGTTAATAACGATCCGGGTCAATTAGAGCAGATCGGGTGCAGCAATCCATGTTTCTTGATATAATCACTTTCTACGTTTTATTATCGTTTTAAAAACGATAACAAACAAAGACGAAACCAATAACAAAGTAAATTGCGCACGAACGACAACGACGTTGCGCTCCGAGAATGTTTTAGAAACATTACGATACGCTCCGTTTTCGTTCATTAATAATACATGGACGTATGTAAATGGAATCGTTCCGAAAATAAAATTATCGCGGGGCCACAAATATCGGGATAAGAATAAAATTATTTATATAAATGTTTAAGATATGAACATGATTTTAAATACTTTAAAACATTTTTCTGTTAATACCGAAGTGGGGAAAACCCAGGAAAGAAGGTAATCTATTAAAGAATATGACAGAAAAATGTTAGGAAATAGAGTCTATTATTTGAATTTTTAGAATTGATAAAATAAAAACGTTGTTAGTATAAAAGGAGTAACAAATAACATTTACAACCAGTTAATGTTTTTAAAATGTCTAAACTCATTTTAGTTTTTGCTGTTTTCTTTATTTCTGGTAAACAATTATAGATTGCAGATTGTAAAGAAAAATGTAATACATTTTTGAATTAGTTTCAGAAATTCTTGCGAGAAATTGTACAGAAAATGAAGAATATAAGACATGTTGGACCGGTTGTAAGGAATATTGTGGAAATAAACCTATCATATGTTCGACGGAGTGCGAGGAAGGTTGTCACTGCAAAGATGGTTACATTAGAAAGAACAACGAAACTAATGAATGCATACTAAGAAGTCAATGTCCTACACCAAAATGTCCATCCAATAAAGTATATAAATCTTGTGGATCTAGTTGCCCTCCATATTGCGGTGAACCCAAACTCAAGATATGCCTAGCTGTGTGCGTACCAGAGTGTCAATGCAAAGATAATTACATTTTAAAGGATGGGAACTCCACCCAGTGTATATTGAGATCCGAATGTCCTTATAATCAAACATGTTCACCTCACCAAAGATTTACCACATGTGGAACAGCTTGTCCTGAGTATTGTGGACAACCCAAAGATACTATTTGTACCTATCAATGCGTTGTAGGGTGTCAATGTGAACCAGGTTACGTAAAAGAATCAAAGGATTGTGATGATTGTTGTATTCCAAAAAGTGAATGTCCTTAACATAATTAATGTTACTGTTTGTAAGATTGATGGGAAATAAATATACATAACAGTAAGATTTCATTTTATTGTCCTTTTATAGAATTTTATAGTTGTTAACCCTTAATCACTGACGTGTCATTTCGTTACACTACCACTGACGTACGAATGAGATTGGTCTATTTCTTTCGAGGCCTGTGAGGCCGTGGTCAATCGTAATTAATGTTTTTATTGATTTTTATGTAATAGAACATTTCAAATCTAAGATGTAAAGATAAAAGAAACAATAAAAATACTCATAGAAAAAATATTTATTAACCAATATTCTTAGCGGTATACAAAAAATATTTAAAAATCAACAAAAAAAAAACTATACTCTATAGGAACTTGTTGTCATCATTTTTGTACTTAACTAAGAATGTTTTTATGAGATCAAAATTACGTTAGCAACTAATCAATTATTTAAGCACTTTTTAACGGCAGTTGTTACAGGTGGGTTTTGAACACTGCAAGCAGATCGGCTGACCGCACATTGTACGCCCGTAATGGCTTCCACGTTGTTTTTGCTTGAAACACATGTAACAATTCTTCAAAATCTCAAACTTTAGGATTTCAGTGCTTTGTTGATTTAATTCAGTAGGCTTATCTTTCCCCAAAATACGTCCTATAAGACTCTTGAGCTCGTGAGAAAGCTGTGGTATTTCATATCGTCGCTCTATGGGTGGAGTTACTAATCGTCTTCCTAGGTCTTTCATGAATTCCATACGTTTCGATTTGTCATAATTACATATTATGAAAGAATTGGCAGCAGCAATATCCAAAATCCTGTAGAATATGACTAGTGGAAATCGTCTAGACCTTCTACTACAAGTGTATTTTGCACACTTTTCGTCTAGAGAATCCACACCCCCTTTTGTTGCGTTATAGAATGAAATTATTTCGGGGATCCCTTTAGTAGAGTCAAAGCTCCCTTCATGGTGCATTGATGAGATCATTGTGACAGTCTTCTTCTTTTTTGGAACATAAGATAGCAGAGTAAGTTCTTTTGTAAAACCATACATAGTTGAATGAACTTGTCGTTTTTTATCAAGAAATTCGGATGGTATTTCTCTTTTATTTTTTTTTTTTAGGGTTCCAACGTAAGTCAAGCCATTTATTCTCAGTTCTATGCAGACTTCAATTGACGAAAAATAGTTATCTGCAGTGATATTTCGATTGGTTGTCATTATCGGTTTTGCCAAACGCAAGACACACTGCGTTGGCACTAATAACTTCCTTTCTTCATGTGTTAGCCCGTTTCCGTCACTGTTCTTTCCTGTATATAGGTACGCATTGTATAAATAGCTAGTAGCACCAACAGTCAGACATTTTATTTCCAAACCATACTTACACGGCTTGTTAGGCATGTATTTCTTCCATCTACATCTTCCTCTAAAAGATACTAGCATTTCGTCAATTGTTGTAGTTTCCCCAATTTTATAGTACTTTTGACAATTTCCTATAAATTCGCGAAATATGTCCGAAATAGCAGCAGCGACGTCTTTCCGTTTTCTTTGGTCTCTACTAGACGCATCATCAAACCTCAAACATAGGATAATCATTGCAAACCGCTCTTTAGACATAACTCCTCTAACAATATCTCTCCCGGTTCCGTCCGTCGCAAACAATGCATTTAGGTCTTCATCATTTGATTTGAACACTGCACTAAACATCAGCAGACCAATGAACGCATCAAACTCCAAAGGATCAATGTCTTTCAGTTCAGGTTTATTCTGGCGTTTATATTTTTCTCTTGTCACTTCCAATCTTTGATTAGTAAAGTTTATAACTTTAGTTTTGATACTCTCAGATATCAGCAATCCAAATAATTGAGACAAAGAGCTGTCAGATGGAATGTCAGTTGCGGTCAATGGAACTACAATGTTGTGCGCAGGAGTTCGAGTGCTTCTTGATGGCCCTTCTACGGACCACTTCATGCATCGTCTTTTACCATAGAAATATTTTTGGCGACGTGATTTGTCATTACAAGTCTCAGTCTCAGGTTCATTTACCTGGCTGATAGTTTCTCTTTCTAGAGGGTCAGCTCGACTTAGTAAACGTGACAATGGAATGTCATCATCAGAGGAGTCGGAGACATGAGAATCTACTGGTGTTGGTAAACTAATCTCTTCATTTTTTTCATCTTCTTCTGATGAAGAATTTCCGCGATCTGATTGTATGCAATCTTCTTCACCTGCCGATGATTCCTCTGATTCTTCACATAGCCATGATTCTATGATGTCGTCTGATTTATTGCAACCAATACGCGTTCGGTGTATTTTCCGCGATGTGGAAGACCCGGGCGAAGTATTACATCGCTTAGGATTCATTTTATCTACAAACGAAAAAATAAAAGAAATTCGAAAAAGTTACACTACACTGACAATACGAATGCCGTACGTCAGATGATCAAATTCACCTGTATAAAAGTGTGTCATACGTTCGTCCTCGCTGCAGCACGCGTGTTACTGACGGCTAGGAAACTACTAGAAACGACAAGCACGAATTCCCGCACAAAAACAAGTTATGAACGAATAACGGTTTTCGCAACGAATGTCATTCGTATCTGAGAATATTTGAGGGACATCAAGGACGACATTGATTTAAGATGTTGAAGGGCAGGAAAGAGATATCAAATATTCATGCCGTTGACCAATATCAACGTAACTCCTTTCCATCTTGGACATAATTACTCCACCATTGCTCCTTATCTTTAATTTCTCCATAGAGTCTTCGACCTTTCCTCCAATTTGGCAACAGGCCTGCGTAGTTCCCATTCCTAAGATTAAGTGCCCTACTCGCCTAAGTGATTTTCGGCCAATATCGATACTTTCCGTATTATGTAAGGCACTTGAACGCTTGGTGTACAATCAAGTGCAGGATTGCTTTGATGAGCATAAACTAATTACAGGCTATCAATCTGGTTTCCGACCAGGCCACACTACCACATCGGCACTCATCATGGTTACTGATGATATTAAGCGTAACTGTGACGATCGACGAATAACGTTGTTAGTTTTGCTGGACTTCAGCAAGGCATTTGATGCTGTGGATCATAGCTTACTGGTGTCGTCTCTGTCTGTTATGAGCTTTGCCCTTGAGTGCGTTACTTGGTTTAGGTCATACCTTTCTCAACGTTCCTTTTGTGTGCGCGACACTTCATCTTCTTCTTCTGTGTTTCAAAGTCATAGTGGTGTGCCTCAGGGAAGTGTATTGGGTCCATTACTCTTTTCACTTTTTATAAATAGTGTTATCAAATTCATTGCATGCAACTATCACTTATATGCGGATGATCTTCAAATCTATACATCAACAACTGTGAATGTCTAAATGTTTTGGTCTGAAATATTGCCAAGACGCAAGCTATAGCATTCGGTTCAAAACTTTACGCAAAATTTTACTCTTTCAATGATATACAACTGATACTTGGTAACAATGTTAACATTTCACCAATACGATCAAAAACTTGGGGGTGACAATGGACTCAGCGCTGTCTTGGCGGTGTCAAATTCAGTCTGTCTGTAGGAAGGTCTATTTTTGTTTTCATTCCTTGCGTAAACTTGGTTGTTTCCTTCCCCTTGCTGTCCGTCGTAATCTTTTTTACTCATTAATACTGCCCACATAGATTATGCTGATGCGGTGTATCCCATCTGGATACATATTATGTATTATGGAATTGTCAGCATAATCTATGTGGGGCAGTATTAATGAATAAAAAGGTTACGACGGACAGCAAGGGGAAGAAAACAACGAAGTTTACGCAAGGTATGAAAACAAAAATAGACCTTCCTACAGACCTAGCAAATGGCCCTCATCCTTCCGTATACTGACTACCCTATATAAGATACTTTCTTCTCGGACCCCAGTATACTTGTACACGAACTTTCAATTCATGTCGTCTCCTGGTCTGCCTACTAGTGCACAGTCTGATACGTTACTCATATTTCCCATTCATCGCACCGAGAGATATCATGGACCTTTCACAGTGCAGGCTATAAAGCTTTGGAATAGTTTACCCATGGAAATACGCAACACTCGTAGTTTTCTAACGTTTAAGGTCTGCTTAAGGGATTATCTATTATCACTACAATTATCTGAATCTAACTTTTGATGTCACCTGCTTCTCCTCTCTTTTTCTTTTTCCTTTTCTCTATTTTTTTCCTCCTCTCTACATACAATGCTGGTTGGGTCTTTTGGCGATAAACTGACCTTTTGTCAACATACACTATTAATTTAATTCATTTATGTATACATATATATTATTTTTCTCCTGTATTAGCTATGTGGCAATAAACTTATTATTATTATTACCAATATTGAGAAAGGAGGTTGCTCGCTGTTAACAAATATCAGGGATAATATTTAAAAATATCTAGACTGATATTAATAAATGGTGGGGAAAATGTTAAGGAAGCTCAAAACATTGTTAAAAAAATATGAGGAAATACCGTCGATAATGTTGAGGAATTTCAAAAATGATATTGGAAGATATCAGGAACGAAATTGAGAGATATCAGTGATGAAAATAATAGATAATGAAAAATTATTAGGAATAATGTTGGAAGATATCAATAAACGATAATTAGAGATCGCAAGAATAGTATTAATAGATACTGATAAAGGTATTAAAGAAGCTTGGACAGTGTTCGGGATTATGTTGAGGGATACCATAAGCAATGTCGAGGGAATTCACTGACGATAATGGAAGATGTCAAGAACCATGGTGAAATATCTCTCAGCGAGAACATTGACGATGATATCTTGCATGATACTGGAGGATGCCATAGACATTATTGATGAAGTTAAATGATATCAGTAATTATATGCAGTTGATATCGATGAAGAAAATTTTCCTTGGCGTCAGGACTTTGTTGATATATATCAGAGCTATTATTAAGAGACGTCGTAGTTAATGTTGAGGAGGGTTGGAAATGATATTAGTAGATATCAGGGACTATGTCAAAAGTTATAAGGGGTAATTTTAATAGACAATGGGGAAGATGTTGAGTGAAGCCGGAATAATGTTGAAAGATGTTAGGGAATATATTTAGAGTGTCAAAAGAAATGGCAGGATGCCGTTGACAATGTTAAGAATGGCAATAAACAGAAATTGGAATCAGAATAAAATTATTTACGTAAATGTTTAAGATATAGACATGATTTTAAATATTTTAAAATATTTTTCTGTAAATATCGAAGTGGGAAATCACAGACAGGAAGGTAATCAATTAAAGAATATGACAAAAATGTATTGTGAAATAGAATTATTTGAAATTTTTGGAATTGATGAAACAAATAGATTGTTAGTAGTTCAGATAATGAATTGTTAAAATGTCTAAACTTATTGTAGTTTTTGTTGCTTTCTTTATTTCTGGTAAACACTTGTACTTTATAGATTATAGAGAAAAATGGTGATATATTTTTGAATTAGTTTCAGAAATTCTTGCGAGAAATTGTACAGAAAATGAAGAATATAAGACATGTTGGACCGGTTGTAAGGAATATTGTGGAAATAAACCTATCACATGTTCGACGGAGTGAGATGAAGGTTGTCACTGCAAATATGGTTACATTAGAAAGAACAACGAAACTAATGAATGCATACTAAGAAGTCAATGTCCTACACCAAAATGTCCACCCAATAAAGTATATAAATCATGTGGATCTAGTTGCCCTCCATATTGCGGTGAACCCAAATTCAAGATATGCCTAGCTGTGTGCGTACCAGAGTGTCAATGCAAAAATAATTACATTTTAAAGGATGGAACTCCACCCAGTGTATATTGAGATCCGAATGTCCTTATAATGAAGCATGTTCACCTCACCAAACATTTACCACATGTGGATCCGCTTGTCCCACGTATTGTGGACAACCCAAAGATATTATTTGTACCAAGCAATGCGTTGTAGGGTGTCAATGTGAACCAGGTTACGTAAAAAATCAAAGGATTGTGATGATTGTTGTATTCCAAGAAGTGAATGTCGTTAACATAAATAATTAATGTTAATGTTTGTAAGGTTGATGGGAAATAAATATACATAACAGTTAAGATTTCATTTTATTGTCCTTTTATGTAGTTGCTAAGATAGACAGATAAAACCTTCGATAAACAAATTGAAAGGTTTGCCGAAAATTTTTGTGAACCTAAATGGTTCAAAGGTGATAGGATAACTTTGTGATGTTTAAGAAGCTTAATAAAGAATATCGAGGAATATTTGAGGAACATCTGGGACGACATTGATTTAAGAAGGGCAGGAAAGAGTTGAGAGATATCAAATATTCAAGGATGCCGTTGACCAATGTTGAGGAAGGATTTTGCTTACTCAATAATGGAAATATCAGACCCGCTGTTAAGAAATATCAGGGATAATATTAAAAAATATCTACACTGATATTAATAAATGGTGGAGAAAATGTTGAGGAAGTCCAAAACATTGTTAAAAAGTATGAGGAAATATCGTAGTTAATGTTGAGGAATTTCAAAGATCATATTGGAAGATATTGAAGGTTTCTTTACCATGAATTTTACGAAATATCGAGAACGATAATAATATATGATAAGATATAATAAGAAATATCATCGACAATGTTGAAGAATAAAATAGGCAATGAGCAAGATAATGAAAAATTATCAGGAATAATGTTGTGAGATATCAAGGAACAATTAGAGATTGCAAGAATGGTATTAATAGATACTGATAAAGGTATTAAAGAAGCTTGGACAATGTTCGGGATTATGTTGAAGGATATCAGGAATAAAATTGGGGAATACCATAAGTATTGAGGAAATTCACGGATGATAATAGAAGATGTCAAGAACCATGGTAAAATATCTCTCAGCGAGAACATTGACGATGATATCTTGCATGATTCTGGACGATACAGAGAAAGATGTTGATATCGATGAAGAAAATCTTCCTTGGCATCAGGATTTTGTTGATATATATCAGAGCTACTATTAAGAGATGTCGTAATTAATGTTGAGGAGGGTTGGAAATGATATTAATAGGTATCAGGGACTATATCAGAAGATATAAGGGGTAATTTTAATAGACAATGGGGAAGATGT